AGAAATCACAACCTTTTGTGTATTTTGTTTCCAAGGCTCTCTTAGAAAGTGGAAATAATCAAGGCCAGCAGGTCTCCCCTCTCACTCCAGGGAGTTTCGGGCACATTCATTCCCACCTTTGACAGACAGCTTTGTACCCAGAGCCCAGGATGTCCACCCAAGTTCCTTTTGCCTGACCAAAAGAAAAATTTTATTTTAAGTGTTTTGCCTGCATGTATGTAGGTGCACTGGTGCCATGCAATGCCCATGGAGGTCAGAAAAGGGTATTGGATCCCCTGGAAATGGAGTTATGGACAGTTATTATCTGTCCTATGGGTGCTGGGAACAGAACCCGGGTCCTCTACAAGAACAGCCAGTGTTCTCAACCACTGAGCCATCTCTCCAGCCCTCCCTGGCCAGTGCTCTTTAAAAATATATTTTTAAAATGTGTGTGTATGTGTGTGTGTGTGTTTCTGTGTCTCTGTGTGTGTTTTTTACATGAGTGTCCTAACACACATGTAGAGGTCAGACAGCTATGGGAGTTGGTTCTCTACTTCTACCATGTGGGTTCTGGGAAGCAAACTCATCAGGTTTGGTAGCAAGCACCTTTACTCATTAAGGGATCTTTCTGGCCCCTGGCTACTGCTCTTTATAAAACAAATAGGCCCATCCTGCTCTGTATTTCTTTATTTAGCCAAGATAGCTGTGGTGGTTTGAATGAGAATGTCCTCCATAGGCTCCAAGTATTTGGACATTCTGTCCCAGTTGATGGTGTTGTTTTGGAAACTCTTAGAAGGTGTGGCCATGGAGGAAGCAGGTCACTGGGGGCAGACTTTGAAGGTTCTTAAGCCATGCTGGATCTCCAGATATTCTCTGCTTCCTGTGCCTGCTTGAAGATGTGAGAGCTTAGCTTCTGCTCCTGCTCTGGCCGCTTCGCCATGCTTCCCCACCATGATGGACTCTAATTCCTCTGGAACCTGGAACTGTAAGCTCAGATAAACTCTTTTTCCTATAAGTTCTCTTGGTCATAGTGTTTTATCACAGCAACAGAAAAGTAACTAATACAATAGGCAAATTCTCTTATGCTGCTACAAGAGAGCCTAAGTTAATGCCACAGCAGAAGAAGGGACAACTGACATCTGACTTTTGCTAGGATCCAATTCAGCCAGGTACATCACTGAGATTTCTTGAATACCTACCATAACCATTTGTAAAACATAGTAAAAGGGCCAAAAAAGCCATTTTTACATGCTAGTCACAATCTTCAGGGAAAAGACTGGCCTTGAATTCCTGAAACTGCAGGAAGATCAGATCAGATGAACCCTCAGTCATCTTTTTTTTTAATTATTTTATTTATTATTTTATGTGTACGAGTGTATTCCCTACATGTATGTGAATGCACCCATGTCATGCAATGCTGCAGAGGTCAGAGAGGGCTTTGGATTCCCCTGGAACTGGAGTTAAGAATGGTTTGTAGCCTCAATGTGGGTGCTGGGAACCGAACCCGGGTCCTCTGCAAGAGCAGTCAGTGCTCAACCACTGAGGCATCTCTCCAGCCCCAAGTCATCTTCTTTTATTTAAATTTTTTCTACATTTTGTGTGTGTGTGTGTGTGTGTGTGTGTGTGTGTATGTGTATGGACACACATGCCGTTACATGTGGTGGTAAGAAGATGACTTGTCTGAGTCACTTCTCTCCTTTCACCATGTGGGATCTGAGAATCAAACTTAGTTTGTCAGGCTTGGCAGCAAGAGTCCTTATTTACTGAGACATCTCACCAGCCCCCTTTCTCATTGTTTGATCCTGATCAAACTGGTTTACATTGTGTTCAGAGTCTCACAGGGTCTTCTGAAAAACTTTCAACAATTTCCAGAGAAGGAATGGCTATGTAATTCGCAGGGACTGGTGCAAAATTAAAATGCAACTTCCTTTGTTTAAAAAAATAAGACTCTCGCCTGGTGCAGTGGCACATGCCTTTAATCCCAGCACTCGGGAGGCAGAGGCAGGCAGATCTCTGTGAGTTCGAGGCCAGCCTGGTCTACACAGTGAGTTCCAGGACAGCTGGGGCTACAGGGAGACCCTGTCCCAAAAAGACCAAAAAAAAAAAGACTCTCAAGAAGATAATAGAGCATTGAATCAACTGTGGGACTTTCCTAAGCATGGGCACTGTGACTGCATCATTGGCGTCTAAAACCAATCTCATAAAACCAGACACGGTAGTCTATACCTGTAACCCCAATGCTTGGGAAGTGGACGCAGAAGGATCAGGAATTCAAGGCCAAAGTCCCAGACCAACCTGGGCTACGTGAGACCCTATGTTACAAAGAAAAGTCAGTCCAGAGAGATGCAGCTCCCTGTACATCAGGCCTTTCCATCCTCTCTCTGTGTTCTTTGAGACATCTTACAAAACCAGGAGACACTTTAGAGGCTGTACCAGAATAAAGATAGTCTGCTTTATGACTAGTTAAGTGTTTACTTTTGTCAAATAGAAATTCTTTGCAGGGCTGGAGAGATGACTCAGTGGTTAAGAGCACTGGCTACTCTTGCAGAGGACCTGGGTTTGATTCCTAGCATCCATATGGCAGCTAACAACTGCCCGTTTGTTTTGTGTTGCATTACTTTTTAGACAGGGTCTCATTATACAGCCCTAGCTGGCCTAGGATTCGCTATGTGGACCAGGCTGGCCTTGAATTCAACAGATATCCTCTTGCCTCAGCCTCCCAAATGCTGGGATTGAAAGTATACACCACTATGCCCAGCTTGTTTTTTTCATTACATTTTATTATTTGTTTCGTGTGGGAGCATGTGTGCCATGGTGCATGCATACAGGTCAGGGAACAACTTGATGGCCTCAGTTCTCTCCTTCTACCATGTGGGTCCTAGGGATGGAACTCAGGTTGTCAGACTTACAGACAAGCACTTTTATGACTGAGTCATCTTTGAGACCCAAGAAAAATAAGTATTCATAATGTATAAAGCAACACATTTATGCTAGGTGTGGTGCATGCCTTTTAATCCCAGCACTCTGGTGGCAGAGGTAGGAAGATCTCTGTGTGTTCAAGGCTAGCCTGGTCTACATAGTGAGTTCCAGCCAGCCAGGGGTATATAATGAGACTCTATCTCAAAAAATTTTTTTTAAAAAAAAAAAAAAAAAAAAAAAAAAAAAAAAAAAAAAAAAAAACCCAACCCAAAACAAAACAGGGTATATGTTAAATATTAAAAGTCCATGTAAGTCAAATTAAACACCTTCCAAGTTAGGGTTCCTGTTTGTATTTCAGGATAAGCTGTAGTTGCTTACCTAGGAATTGAAAGTACAGAGGCAGATTCCAAATCAAAATGAGTTTAGCAATGAACAGGACTTGAGAGATGGCTCAGTGGTTATGTCAAGAGATGGCTCAGCACTTACTGCTCTTCCAGAGGCTCCTATTACCCCACACCCACCGCGAGTTCCAGGGATTTTCTGGCTTCTGTAGGCATTATATGCTCATGGTGTGCTTACAGACATATAGGCAAAACATTTATACACGTAAAATAAAAATAAAATAATTTTTTGATTCATTAATTTTTTATTTTATGTCTGCATGTGTGTAAGTGCCCACGGAGGACAGAAGAGGGTGTCAGATCCTCTGGAACTGGAGTTAATGGACAGTTGTTAGCTGCCATGTGGGTGCTGGGATTGGAACCTAAGTGTTCTGCAAGAACAACCAGTGCTTTTAACCACTGAATCATCTCCCCAGGCCCCCAAAATAAATAAAATCTTAAAAAGCCAAAAATAAGATTAGCAGTGATCATGTGGAAGGTTCTTAGCCTCAGTAATAATGTATCACATAAACTTAGACCAGTTTAAAAGGTTGACCATCCTCAAATCTAGTAATGAAGAAAGTTTGAGCAAATCTATTCAAGAGGCAATACGGTATCTACTAAAATCAAAAGCAGGTATATCCTTTGACTCAGCAACTCCACTTCTAGGAAGTAATTTTATGGAAAAACTTGGGAACATACTTAAAATCTGTTTGACCTGTTGTGGTTAAGTTTGCTAAAGCCATTCTTTCAACTGATAGTTTCACAAAAAGTAAATCCTGTTTAATTCATTCCTATCTTATTCTCTCCACTCCTGGTTTTCTGAACACTACATAATTCTGTTGCATGGGCTGGAGCAATGGCTCAGCGGTTAAGAGCACTGGGTTCAGTGGTAAAAAGCACTGGCTGCTGCCAGGCGTGGTGGCGGACGCCTTTAATCCCAGCACTCGGGTGGCAGTGGCAGGTGGATCTCTGTGAGTTCAAGGCCAGCCTGATCTCCATAGCGAATCCAGGCCAGCTGCGGCTATAGGGAGATCCTGTTTCAAAAAGACCAAAAAGAAAAAGAAAGAAAGAAAAAAGCACTGGCTGCTCTTGCAGAAGACACGTGTTCAAATCCCATCACCCACATAAGCTGCTAACAACCGTCAATAGCTCAAGTTCAGGGAATACTACGCCTTCCTCTGACTTCCGCTGGCACTGCACGACATGGGTGCACTTACACACATGAAGGCAATACACTCAAATACCAAAATAAAAATAAATAGGGGCTGGAGAGATGGCTCAGCGGTTAAGAGCACTGACTGCTCTTGCAGAGGATCAGGGTTCGATTCCCAGCACCCACAGAGTGGCTACCAAACATCCTTAACTCCAGTTCCAGGGGAATCCGAAGCCCTCTTCTGACCTCTGCGGCATTGCACGACACTGGTGCACTCACACACATGCAGGCAATACACTCATTCACATATACTAAAAATAATAAATATTTTTAAAAATAAATTAAAAATTTTTAAATTGTTGCAAAAAAAATCTGTTGCATTCACACACACACACACACACACGTACGCACACATATGAGCCTTCCAGAATGTTCCTCCTGCAGTCATCCTTCAAAACCCCATTCGCACTGAACACAGGGCCCACACAGGCGTTGCCACACCAGCCATTGGGCACCAACTCGCCCTTCTGGCCCCGCCCACGGTCACTGATGCCCAAAGGCCACGCCCCCTCTGGGAGTTTCCCAAAAGCCCGCGCGGCAGGCCGCGGCCGCCCCAAGATGGCGACTCCCATGCATCGACTCATAGCCCGGAGACAAGCGTAAGTGAGGCGCCGATGGGGCCTGCGGGGGGCCGGGGACGGGGGCCGCGGTGCCGGCGGGTTCTCCAGCTCCGCCCGCCCTCTATGGACTTGGCCCCGGCGCCGAGTTTGGTGACATGAGCCGGGGATTTCGCAGACGACGGCCGCGTAAGACCCGCAAGGCTGGACAGCGGGACTAGGGAGCCGGACGGAACCCCGGGAGTTGGTCACTCGGTGGTGTTTGTCTCTCTGTCCATCCCACACGTCGCCAGGAGTAGCCCGGATGCCTCATCAGACACCTTCAGTCCCTCTGCAGCCTCCAGCGCAGCCTCTTTCCTAGAAACAAGCCTGTCTACACCGCCTACTCTTTTCCCATGCTGCCTTCTCACTTCCTGCTGTTCATTTTCTCCTGTAAATATTTATTTAGTACCTACCACTCTGTGCCAGAGTTTCAGTGTAAAGAAAAAGATGTTGGAGACAGAATCCCTGCGTCAGGCAGCTTTACATTCCACGGTGGAACCAGTTGTTGATACACTAAGTACTTACAGCTGGCGGTTTAAATTAAAAAAAAAAAGCTTTGCAGGAAATAAGAGGATGTGATGGAAAAGGAAAAGGCCTACTTCAAGTTCTTTGGAGGAAAGACTGAAAGGCAGAGAAAGGACCGAGTCAGGATTTGGGAAAAGAGCAGCTAGACAATGACATAATTGCTCTGAGGCTGGAAGAGCCTTTGTAAACCTGACGCTAGAGACTGAACCCAGAACCTTGTCATTGCTCAGCAAGTGCTCACCACTGAGTTACAGCCTCAGCTAAGAACTTAGTTTTTAGGAATTAACTGATGATGATTGTGCCTGATGAACAAAAGACAGCATAAAAGATCTGCTTAAGGATAGGTAATACAGGGTCATCTCAGATTCCCCTTTCTCATATGAAGTCTAAAAATACTTATTTTGTGTGCATGGGGGGGTGTGTGGGCGAGTGCCGTAGGACAAAGGTGGAGGTCAGAGAATAACTTGTGGGAGTCAGTGCTCTCCACCTGATGGGTCTGGGTGGTGGGACAGATGCATGTACCTGCTAAGCCATCAACCACGGGTGAGCCTTCAACCACTAGTGAAGCCTGTTCTTTTACCACCTGCACGTTCAAAATATGTCATTTTTTCATTCTCTCAGCATTTTATTTCATTACTGTTTGCATGTAGCAAACATATATGTATGTATATGTAATTGATTCTTTATATTTATTCTTATTTTATATTCAAAGAACTGCATTCCTGTTCTGTGTATACAATCTACATGTTAGGGACTAGTGAGAGTTCCTTGGATGCAAGGAAAAAGACTTAGTAGTCAGAGTATTAAGCTTGGAAGGAGAATGGGATGATAATACTTAATAAGATGAGCTGGGGATGTAGCTCAATTAGTAATTTGCCTAGTGTGTGCAAGGCCTTGGGTTTGATTCTCCGGGACAACAGAAATCAGAGGTGGTGGTGGTGCACGCCTGCAATCCCAACACTTGGGAGTTGGAGGCAGGCGGAGGGTCAGGAATTCAAGGCTAACCTGGGCTACATGGGACCCTGCCTCAAAAAAAAAAATCTTGGCCAAGCCTGTTGGCGCCTCCCTTCAGTCCTAGCACTGGGGAAGCAGAAGCAAGCAGATCTCTTTGAGTTTGAGGCTATCATGGTCTATATAAATAGCAAATTCCAGGTCAGCCAGGGCTACGTAATAAGACTCTGTCTCAAACAACAACAGAAATTTTAAAAACTTTAAAAAAAATTTATTTTTATTTTATGTCTGTATCTTGCCTGCATGTATGTAAGTGTACCACATGCATACAATGGCCATGGAGCCCAGAAGAGGGTGTCACATCCCCTGGAACTGGAATTACAGTCCATTATTAGCCACCATGTGAGTGTTAGGAACCGAACCCAGGTCCTCTACAAGAACAGCCAGCGCTGTTAACCTGAGTCATTTCTCCAGCCACAATAACAGAATTTTAATTATAAGAGTGCTAATTTAGATTACTAGGGTCCAATTTCACCTTTTTTCTCCCTTAGACAAGCTCTTCTGGCCCCATGCTTAGAGAAGCTATTTCGATGACAGGATGGCTGGATCTGGGATTCTTCATGTCCTCCTTGTAACAAGTTGGTCACATTTTATTGGTCTTAATTGAACTATATACCCAGCCCCAAATAATGCCTACAGGTTTCTGAAACTCTGATGGACTTAGACATCTCATTCTCCTTCCCTCAAGATTGGATGAATGGCCATAACCAATGAGCTAGCTGTGTGGGTAGATCACAGGAGATAAATGAGGCTGGATTGGCAAAACCAGCCAATGCCCACTGTAAATATGAAGTGAAAATAAGACCTCTCAAGTCCAAAGAGTGCTGTTGTTTCCAAAGTATCAGAAAGTTAAATAAATAATGCTGTTTGTACAGTGTGCCCTGTACACAGAAGAAAGCTGATCTTTTTGAGAACAAAACATGTGACATGTAGTTAAAACTGTCATGATTTATGGAGTTTAAATCCCATGGATTCAAACCAGGAGAGTCTTTAGAGGCTAGAATTATATATATTTGGGACATGGCACAGGACAAGTGACTTTTATTCACTTTAATTTTTATGTGTTTAAGTATATTGCCTGCATGTATGTAAGTGCACCCATGTCGTGCAATGCCTGTGGAGGTCAGAAGAGGGCATCAGATCCCCTGGAACTGGAGCTATGGATGATTGTTAGCCACCATGTGGATGCTGGGGACTGAACCCTTGTTCTCTGCAAGAGCAGTCAGTGCTCTTAATCGCTGAGCCATTTCTCCAGCCCCAAGATTATACTTTTCACTATTCTTCAAAAACAGAATTTCATATGTAAGGAGTATATTACTTCCATAATAAGTTTAAAACATATAGCCTTACCAGGCCTGGAACTCACTAGACTAGGGTGGCTTTGAACTCACAGAGATTCGTTAATGACCTCTGCCTCCTGAGTAGTGAGATTAAAGGCATTCACTAGCACACCCAGCTAAGTCTAAAACTTTTAAAGCTGATTATGAGAGAGAAAGCTTTCCCCCACCCCACACAGTTTTTGAACAGGGCCTCTGTGTAGCCCCAGCTGGCCTAGAGCTCCTTGACCAGGCTGGATTTGATCTCACAGAGATCCACCTGCCACACTTGATTTGTATGTGTATATGAACACCCAAGTGGAGGTCAGAGGACAGCCTGACAGTCGGTTCTCTCCTCCCACCGTGTGGGTCAGGAGAGCCTTAAAAATATTTTGGGTTAGGGGTGTGGCCCAGTGGTAGAGCATTTGCTTAGTATGCTTGAAGGAAGCCTTCAGTTTGTTCTCAGTTTTCTCACTGAGAACATTGAAAGTATTTGGGGGCTGGAGACATGGCTCAGTGGGTAAGAGACTTCTTCCAGAGGACCCGGTTCAGTTCCCAGCACCTGGAGACACGGCTCAGTGGATAAGAGACTGTTCTTCCAGAGGACCTGGTTCAGTTCCCAGCACCCAAATGGTAGCTAACAACTGTCTATAACTCTAGTTCCAGGGGATCTGGTACCCTCTTCTGACCGCCACAGGCATTGTATGCGTGTGGTACACTTACATACATCCAAGCAAAACACTCAACCACATAAAAATAAAGTAAAAAAAATATTTTTAAATGTTTTGATTATCCTTTGTAATTCTGAGCTGAATCTGAATTTATGATTACTAGAATGGAAAAGCTAAGATTTGTGTTTTTGTGTATTTCTTTGGATTTTAGAGATAGGGTCTCACTCTATAGCTCAGGTTGACCCAGAACTTGCTCTATAGACCAGGCTGGCCTTGAACACAGCCATCCTCCTACCTGAGCCTGGCAAGTAATGGGATTCCAAGCATGAGATGCCATGCTGAACTTGGAAGGGCCAAGATTTGAATTCAGTGCTACTGAACTCAAGGTCTAAGCTTTGACTGCACAAAAGTAACTTTTTTTTTTTTTGGTCTTTGAAACAGGGTCTCCCTATAGCCCCATCTGACCTGGAACTCACTATGTAGGACCAGGCTGGCCTTGAACTCAGAGATCCGCCTGCCTCTGCCTCCCGAATGCTGGGACTAAAGGTGTGCGCTACCACGTCCAGCAAAAGTAAACTTTGTATTTTTTGGTCTTTTTGAGACAGGGTCTCCCTGTAGCCCCAGCTGGCCTGGAACTCACTTTTGTAGACCAGGCTGGCCTTGAACTCACCGCCTGCCTCTGTCTCCCAAGTGCTGGGACTACAGGCATGCGCCACAACGCCCAGCAAAAGTAAACATTTTATACTTAGTTTTGTTTTTGCTTTTCAGGTCAGAAGAATCACAAGACAAAAATTCTAATGCCACTGTTCTATTTTCTCCTTTGTAGCGAAGCAAATAAACAACATGTAAGATGTCAGAAATGCTTGGAATTTGGACATTGGACTTATGAATGCACAGGAAAAAGAAAATATCTACATAGGCCTTCAAGAACAGCAGAGCTAAAAAAAGCTTTAAAAGAAAAAGAAAATAGACTATTACTTCAGCAAAGGTAGGTTTACATGTGGTACCCAAAGGCATTTTAAAGAGTTTTTTAAAGGACTAAAAATTTCATTATAATGCTAGCTAACATTTTTGTTTATTTTTAGTTTTGGAGATGGTCTCACTATGTAGCTTAGGCTGACCTCAAATTTGCAGTCTTCCTGCCTTTGTTCCCTGAGTTGTGGGATTATAGGGGTGCACCAGTACATCCAGCTTTTAATAGTAATAACTGGTTTTAAATGAATGTTTGCACCAGGCACTACACTAAGGTCTTTACAAGTATTTGCATATTTAAACCTCAAATCTGCACTATTAAGGCAGCTATTATTTCTATTTACATAGGAAGAACATGAGGTGCAGCAAAGAGGGTTGGTAACTTGTTCATGTCACACAACTATTAAGTGGAAAAGTTAAGTGATGAGCCAACCAGACTGTTCTCGAGTCCATGCTTTTAGTTATTTTGCTTTACTGCGTCAACGGTCTATGAAATGACAAAAGAAAATTTGGAGTCGGATGACAAAGCAAGCATGGAAGGTTGCTGAAGCTGAAGGTGGAGATGGTACGCGGTGTGCTCGGATGTACATTAAAGAAGAGTGAAACTTAAAAATACATAAACGGTTGACAAAGGTGGTTACTTCCTAGAGGGAGAAATGGATAGGAGGAGACTGGAAATTTATTTGCTTCTTCATTCTTTAAATAAAGCCTTGTAAAAGATGTTTTCCAGAAACTGAAATAGGAAGAGGTTGTGTCTATCTCGTGTTGGGGGTTAGCAGCAGCTCCTTCCTAGGGACTGTTAGCCGTATTGTATGACGCTGGAGTTAAGACCTGCACTTGAAAGCTCTCAGGCTTTTCAGAAGTCAAACAAAAATGACATAAACAATCATTTTTTAGGCTAGTGAGATGGCTCAGTGGGTAAAGGCACTTGCTGCTGAACCTGATGACCTGAGTCCAATCCCTGGAACCCACATAGTAAAAGGAGGGAACTGCTGCAAGTTGTCATCTGACTTCCACGTGTGAGCCATGATACATGCATGCCCCTACACATCATTCACACGCACACACACAAATAATTAAAAAATCATTTTCAGGTGGGCATGATGGTGTGCACCTTTAATCCAGTACTCAGGAGGCAATGGCAGGCAGATCTCTGTGAGTTCAAGGCCAGCCTGGTCTACATAGCAAGCTCAGGGCAGCTGGGGCTACAGGGAGACCCTGTCTCAAAAAAAACCGAAAAAAAAAAAATCATTTTCTAGATCATCATTCATGTGTGCTTTTTCCAAAAACAGATCTATGTAAGAACTTGACTATTGGTTCTCCCTCCCACTCACCCCCACATTATAAATTTAAGATCTGGATAGCATAACAAGTTTCTCATTGGAAAAGGTCTTGTTGGAAATGGTAAAAGATGATGTCCTTGGGGTTAGTCCCACTCCAAAGAGCACGGAAGTCCTCACACAGCAGCCTACTGGGGTTACCTCACCATCCAGAATTCACAGTTTAATTCCTCCACTAAACAGGAAGGAACAAGGGTAAACTGCCCCAAGGTACTACACCTGGTTGGATTCCTGTGTATTTAAGTTCAGATGACACTGAGCATTTCTGTCCCATCCCCTTAAGTTAGATGTAATGGTGCACACCTATACTCCCAGGACTTGGGAAGTGGTAGGAAGATCAGAAATTCAGGCTCATCCTTGACCACATAGTGAGCTTTAGGCCAACCTGGACTACATAAAAGCCCGTCTCAAAAATTGACAAATAGATCCAGGCACAGGACACATAACTTTAATCCCAGCACTGGGGACACAGAGGCAAGTGGATCTCTGGATCCAAGGCCAACCTGGTTGACATAAATAACAACCACACACAAAAAAGCTGGCAAATTAAAAAGCTTCTGCACATGGACTGGAGAGATGGCTCAATGGTTAAGAGCACTTACTACCCTAGCAGGGGACTGGGGTTTGGTTCCCAGCACCTTTGTTAAATGGCTCACAACCACCCTTAACTCTAGTTCCAGGGGATCTGGTGCCCTCTTCTGGCCTCTGGGGGCTCCTGTATGCATGTGGTACACATAAACTCATTCAGGTTCATACACATACACATAAACAAAAAAAATTATAAAAGCTTCTGTATAATAAACAGTAAATAGAGTGAAGAAGCAGTCTAGAGAATGGAGGAAAATGTTTTCCAGCTGTGCATCTTGGCAAAGGATGAATATCTAGGATATACAAAGAATTCAAAAAACTAAACAAGAAAACAAGCAGTCCAGTTTTTAAAATGGGCTAAGGAGCTAAATACCGAGTTCTTAGGAAAAAAGGAAATACAAATGCCCGATAAACATTTTTTTAAAGTGTTCACTGCCCTTTGCTGTCAAGGAAATGCAAATTAAAACTGCTTTGAGACCCATTCCTGCCCAATCAGAATGACCACCATCAAGAACACGCCATAAATGCTAGCAAGAATGTAGGGAAAGAGGAGTCTGTTCACTATCAGTGCAGCCACTGTGAGAATCAGCATGGTTTCTTTTGGTTTTTTTTTGGGGGGGGGGGTAGAGGGTGTCAGCAGGGCCTGCGGTGATCGTGTGTGAGGTAAACCTGTCCATTGCTGGGTCCAGCCTGCATTCCACAGAAACTTGTGAAAGTTACAGGCACGAGCACAGAGTCAGAGGGCAAAGTGAAAGCGGGCCGGGAATATAGCTCAGTTGGTAGAGTACTTGCCTAGCATGAACGAGGCTCTGGGTTTGATCCCTAACATATATAAACATGGTGGTACATGCCTAAATAATCACTTGAGAGGAAGCTGAGGCATTCTGGGTCCTTCTCAGCTATTAGCAAGTTCAAGGCCAGCCTAGGCTACATGAGACCCTGTCTTGCCGAAAGAAAAGGAAAAATAAGAAATTTCACTATTTATAACTAATTTGAATTTTTAAAAAAGTGAAACTTTATGCACTGGTAGAGTGCTTGCCTAGCATGCACCAGCCGGAGGATTTGACCCCCAGCAACCAGTTAGATAGGACTAATTCTGTAATTTGAAAACTTGCTTAGTCCCATATTGATTGGCTGAAGTGCATTTCATTCAAACTCACTAGACTTTGTTCTTTATGATGTTAGGGAAAACAGTGTTCTCTAAAAAAAAATATTTTTTTTGGTCTTTTTGAAGCAGGGTCTCCCTGTAGCCCCAGCTGTCCTGGAACTCACTATGTAGACCAGGCTGGCCTTGACCTCACAAAGATCCGCCTGCCTCCGCTGGGACTACAGGTGTGCGCCACCACGCCCGGCTTGAAAAAAAGTTTTTTAAATTATTATATGTGTGAGTGTTTTGCCTGTAAGTGCACCATGTCATGCAATGCCTGTGGAAGCCAGAAGAGGGCATCACATCACCTGGGACTGGAGCTAGGGACATGTGGATGCTGGGAACCAAACTTGGGTCTTCTGCAAGAGCAGCCAGTGCTCCCAACTGCTGAGCCCTCTCTCCAGACACCCCCTCTTTTTTTTAAGATCTGTTTTTATGTTATGTGTGAATTTTACCACATACATACAAGGTACCCACAGATCCCTGGAGCTGAAGTTACAGGCAGTTGTGAACCACCTGATGTGGGTGCTGGAAAAGGAATCTGGGTCCTCTGGAAGAACAGTAAGTGCTCTTAACTGCTGAGCCATCTGTCCGGCCCCAAGGAATATGGTCTTGAAGTACTGTGTTTTGGCGTTTATTAAAGCAATAACAACATTTGGAAGCTATGCAGAAGTTAAATTTGCTTTTGTAAAAGTATGAATTGGCCACATATGATTCTACAAACTCACATTACAATTATTGTGCATTTACCTTGTATTGTAAGTTGACTTAAATTCTAAACTAAAAAAGAAGCAAATTTGTGCCTTCAGGCATCTTAACTACTAATTTTCCTGGCTTTTAAGGTACAAGTGATACAATTTGTTGTTTAAGCACTAAGTTGACTTTATATACAGTATAACACCTATCCCAGGAAACTTTCTACTTGATTGTAACAAATGTTGTACCCTTGAGTGTATGTTATGAAGAACAGAATACTTTTCCAATGTAAAGCAATTTTGAGGCTGCCGCGTTCTCTGAGTTGTATGTAATCACTTACTAACAGCAGCTTTTGTTCCCTTTTGTGCCTCTCAGCATTGGTGAAACTAACATAGAAAGAAAGACCAAGAAAAAAAGGTAGGTGTGGCTTACGTTATCAGAGAGCCAAGTGTGATCCTAGCTGGAGGGAAATGGGTCTAAAGTCTCGTTTGCAATTCTTTTTTTAAAAGTTTTACTTTTATATTAACATGTATGAGCGTTTCCCTGCATGTATATATGTGTACCACATACATGCAGTTCCCTCAGAGCCAGAAGAGGGGGTCAGATCCACTGGAACTGGAGTTACAGATGGTTGTTAGGGGCCATGTGGATGCTGGGAACCAAACCTGGGTCCTCTGCAAGAGCAGCCAGTTCTAACTGCTGAGCCATCTTTCCAGTCCTCTTGTTTGTAATTCTTAATTATCCTATTTACTTATATTTTCCTTTCTTTACCTATGTGGGATTTATTCCTTCCATTTCTTTCTACATCTTCTAGGGTCCTTATACCTAAAAATACTAAATAATCACCTCCTCCTACAATAGGAAATAATTAAAATTGTATTAAAGGACTAGGGAGAAGGCTCAGTTAGTAAAATGCTGGCAGCTCAATCATGAGACCCTGAGTTCAGATCTCCAGCACCCATGTGAGAAACCAGGTATGGCCGGAGTTCCTGTAATCCCAGTGCTGGGGAGGGGCACACAGGTAGATCCTGGGATCTCACTGAGCAGCCAACCTAGCTGAATTGATGAACCTCAGATTCAGTGAGAGAAGTAGTCAGATGTGGTGGCGCACACCTTTAATCCCAACACTCAGGAGGCAGAAGCAGGTGGATCTCTGTGAGCTCAAGGCCAGCCTCGTCTCGATAGTGAATCTAGGCCAGCAGTGGCTACAGGGAGACCCTGTCTCAAAAAAACCAAGAAAAAAAAAAAGATGTGGAGAATGATTGAAGAAGACACTGGCCAATGGGACCTCTGGCCTCCATGACACTGGCATATACATGTGCACACATTCCACAGCAGCACACACATTAAAGCAAAAAATAAATTCAGTTTTTGTTAAGTCCAGGCATGGTGGTACACACCTGCAGCCCCCAGCACTGGAGGCAAAGGCAATAGATGGCTGCCAGTTCTTTTTTTTAAATTATTTATTTAATAACCACATACTTAGATACTTAGAAGAAGCATTTCATTACAACAGCATTGACATATTCAATAACAATTTCCTGAGTTAAGATGCATCTCTTTCAAAATTGGCTGTAAATTTTTAGGTTTACAGTTGAATTATTACAGTTATACAATATTGAACTCAGTATAAGCCCTGTAAGACATAAAATTAAATGAGGTTTTAACCTTTAAAAAAGATCTCCATTTCATTATTAAAACACACAGTTTCATATAGAAAAATTCTTTTTTTTTTTTTTTTTGTCTTTTTGAGTCAGGGTCTCCCTGTAGCCCCAGCTGTCCTGGAACTCACTATGTAGACCAGGCTGGCCTTGAACTCACAAGAGATCGGTCTGCCTCTGCTTCTCAATGCTGGGATTAAAGTGCACGATTTTTAATGCAATTGACATTAAGCTGTTTGCACATGTGTTTTTAATCTCTGTATCTGATTATTACTAGTCACAGTTGGTTACTTTCTGAGCTCCTTGGCATCTGAGCATGGATATAAAGTCGTCAGGTAGATTTCAATGGTAATGTTTTTCACATCTACTAATTATTAAGGAGCAAACTTTTATGCTTTGAAGAATTATTTTTTTTATTTAATCTTTTTTAAAAAAAATTTTAATAGCGGGGTTGGGGATTTGGCTCAGTGGTAGGGCGCTTGCCTAACAAGCGCAAGGCCCTGGGTTCGGTCCTCACTTTAACATATTTATTAACACATTCCAGAGCAAGGATACATCTCTTTCAAAAGTAGCTGTAAGTTTTTAGGTTCACAGTTGAGTTAATAGTTACACAATATTGAACTCAGTATAAACCCTGTAAGACAAAACTGAATGAGTTTTTAACGTTTAAAAAGGATCCCCATTTTAAAATATACTGTTTCTTACATAATGGCTCATTGTTTTTGCTAATAACACTTAGATGTTGGCATATGCATCTCTAATCTGTATGTATCTGATTATTACTAGTCATGATCAGTTGCACTTGGATCCTTGGCACCTGTGTATGTCTATAAAGTCATCGGGTAGATTTCATTGGTAATGTTTATCACCTCTACTGCAAGTTCTTAAAACTCCAAAAAAAAAAGGCTGTTAAGAAACTGTTGAGCAGGGGCTGGAGACATGGCCCAGCAGTTAAGAACACTGGCTGCTGTTGCGGAAGACCCAGGTTCAAATCCCAGCACCCACATGACGGCTCACAATTTTCTGTATCTCCAATTCCAGGAGGTCTGACACCCTCTTCTGACCTCCATGGGCACTGCATGACATGGGTGCACTTACACACATGCTGGCAATACACTCATACACATAATTATTGACCAGGCTATCTGATCATGAAAGCTCAGCAAATAAGGTCTCTAGCCACCAAGCCTGATGACCTGAATTCCATCCCCACATGCAACATGGTGAGAGAGAATGCACTCCCATGAGCTGTTCTCTGACCTCCACATGCACACCATGGCACACACCCACACGCATACGTGCACACACAGAATAAATACATGTCAAAAACAACCCAGCAGCTACTTAATTTAAAAGAAAGAAAATGCCGGGTGTGGTGGCACACACCTTTAATCCCAGCACTCGGGAGGCAGAGGCAGGCGGATCTCTGTGAGTTCAAGGCCAGCCTGGTCTACATAGTGAGTTCCAGGACAGCTGGGGCTACAGGGAGACCTTGTCTCAAAAAGACCAAAAATAAATAAATAAAAATCAAAGAAAGACAAGGCTGCAGTGTAGCCGGGTTGGTGCACAGCGCTGCGCTCTGCTGCTCATGCACTGCAAGGTCAGGCCTGTACTAGTCTCTGTGGGGTTTTGGTTGGCTTTGGTTTAGGGCTTGTTTTTTTTTTTAATTGGTTTTGATTTTCTTTTGTTTTTAGATTTGTGTGTGTGTGTGTGTGTGTGTGTGTGTGTGTGTGTACAGCATGTGAGCTGTATGTTTGTGCTGCATGATGCTAGAAGAGTGCATCAGATCCCTTGAATTTACAGGCATTTGTGAGCTTCCTGATGGAGGTGCTGTGGTCTGAACTCCAGTCCACTGATAGAGCCCCTCCAGCCCTTATTTATTATTATTATTTTTTTTGAGATAGGCTCTCTCTCTGTAATCCAGGCTAGCCTAGAACTCACTGTGCAACCCAGCCTGGCTTGAAACACATGGTGATTCCCCCTGCCTCAGTTTCTCCAGGGCTGAGATTACAGATATGCACTACCATATCTGGCTCTTCTTTTTCATATATATTCTTTTGTGGATTTTTATTGTTTGCTTTGCTTTGTTTTGAGACAGAGTCTTGCTATGCAGCACTGACTGACCTGGAATTCCTTATGTAGACCAGGCTGGCCTTGAATTCACAGAAATCCACCTGCCTCTGCCTCCTTGTGCTGGGATTAAAGGTATGCTCTTCCACTTCTGGTTTTATTTTTGTTTTTGAGACAGGGTTTCCGGTAGCCTAGGCTGGCTTCATCCCCACTGTGTAGCTAAGGGTGACCCTGAATGCCTGTAAAGTGCAGGGATTGCAGGTGACCGCCATGCTAGGGTAGCTTAGTATGGGAGGTTCACCTAGTGTGAATGCTATACAGGAGAGTCGCTGAAATGACGGGGAGGCCAGTTTACAGTGGTTAGGCAACCTCTACAGCAACAAAGCTAGGACAGCGTGCCAGCAAAGCTTTGGGACAAGCACCCTCTAAGCACCCCACACAGGACAAGCACCCTCTAAGCACCCCACACAGGACAAGCGCCGTCTAAGCACCCCACACAGGACAAGCGCCCTCTAAGCACCCCACACAGGACAGTGCTGGCCTCCCTCTGCATGCTTCTCATTGTCTAACAGGTCTAAGAGTGTCACGACCTCCAGCAGCTCTAGCAGTGACAGTTCAGCCAGTGAATCCTCCTCAGAGAGTGAAACGTCTACCTCATCCTCGGAGGACAGTGGCACGGAGGAAAGCTCCTCCAGTTCCTCCTCCTCCTCTTCCTCCACCTCCTCCTCCTCCTCCTCGGACTCTGACTCTGACTCCAGCTCCTCCAGCAGCAGTAGCTCCAGTACAGATAGCAGTTCTGAGGATGAGCCCCCAAAGAAGAGGAAGAAATAGACTCACCATGGACCCTGGACCAGAACACCAGGGAGAGTCTCAAAAGGCAATCAGAACATGCCCAGGCAAACAGGTTATCTGGTGGAACTTTCTAGAATCCAGAACTTTCTAAGCATTTTCCCCTGTATAGAGTATTAATAATGGATTATACAAAGACTTTTATTTTAGGGATGAATCTTTTTTTAATATTTGAAGTATATCTGTAGAACATAAAGCTGAAAACTAGTAAATTTGTTTCTGTGATGAGACTTTTTCTCCCTGTGAAATGAATGCCTTACTTGGTTACAGACATGTTGCAGTGTCTGCAGGACAGACTTGCAGAGTAATGCATCAGAATATCGAGTACTGAGTTTCTCATGCTTTCTTGGCTCTGTTTGTTATGTGAGATTTAATACACTGCTATTGTAATACATTGTTATTGTAAGTGTAGTTTTCCAGCATTAATAAATGTGCTCTATTTTTATGTTCATGTCCAGAAAATTAATTTTCTGTCCTGAATATGTAAGTTGAAGAACCTAATATAGTGCATTGGATGCTTCAAGTGCAGGGTATGTCTCCTTCATCCATTTCCCTCTGGCTCCTTGAGCTCTTTGTGTGTCTGGCATGGACCAGTCAGTTACCTTCTATTAGACTCCAGTTCCCAGTCGGAGTATGAGAAGACTCAGCCTTCCTTGAATTAATTCTTCATGATGGGAGCAGGGCATGTTCAGGAGTGCAGAGCCCTCTATACTGGCCCCTCCAAGGTAGTACTTGTATGTTGCTCGTGTCTGAGTTCCTGGTACAAAAGGAGTAGCTGGAAAGAAAGGAGAGGCTGCCAGCACCACGTCCACCCTGGTGATGTGCTAGGTCCTCAGGCTGATGGGTATATACAGTAACCTTGCTGAGATGCTCCACCAGTGAATGCTCTTGGGAATAAAAATCTCCTGTTTCCAGCTTATTCTAACCTAGCTTAACATTCATGACATTCTTCTCCTTTAGTGTTATCACTGACACCATGTAGGAGTCCAGGAGTCCACCAAGCCAAGCATCAAGGGAGAGCTCTAGGTTGGTTTTTATGTGCACTGCACACATGCACAGGCCCACAGAGGCCAGACCCCCTGAAACTGGAGTTACAGGAGGTTGTGAGCCACCTGATGTGGGCTGGGAATCAAATCCTGGGACTCTATGGAGCAGTATATGCCCTTAACTACTGAGCCATCTGTCCAGCCTCTTCCTCTTGGTTGATTTTTTGAGGCAGGGTCTTATGTAGCCCAGGCTGGCCTCAAACTCACTATGTATCTGAGGATGACCTTGACTTCTCATGCTCTGCCTGCCTCCACCTCCTGAATGCTGGGAATACAGGCTGTGCCACCACACCTGGCATTCTAGAGGAACTTTTTTTTTTTCTTTTTTTTTTTTTTTTGAGACAGAGCCTCCCTATAGCAACAGCAAGTCTGGCACTCAATATGTAGGCCAGGCTAGCCTGGATCTAACAGAGCTCTGCCTGCCTCTGTCACCCAAGTGCTGGGATTGAAGGCATGTGCCACCATGCCCAGAAACTTAAAATTTTTTTTTTTTTTTTACTTTTTAAATTTTATTTTCGTCTTTTTGAGACAGGGGCTCCTTGTAGCCCCAGTTGGTCTGGAACTTGCTCTGTAGACCAGGGTTTAAATTTTTATTTTATGTATATGAGTGTTTTGCCTGCCTGTATAAGTGCACCCATGCATGCAATGCCCATGGAGGCCAGAAGAGGGCGTCGGATATCCTGGAACTGGAAATGGTTAGCATCCCTGTGGGTTCTGGGAACCAAACCTGGGCCCTCTGCAAGAGCAGCCAGTGCTCTTAACTGCTGAGTCATCTCTGCAGTGCCTCATTCTCGAGGAACTTAGAAAGGGACAAAAAACATCTGAAACTAGGAATTTGAGTGCCTTAAAAAAGAAATTCAGTACATCAGAAAAGAAAGCAGCCATGTAAAAGGTCAATATAAGGTATTGTAAATATCTTTGTATATTAGCATGCTGTAGAAAAATACCAAAAAGGAAAGAGGTAGAAAGGAGAGAGAATTGTTACAGAAAGTTAGGACAGTGTTGGTTACCTTTACTTATTTATTTTTTGGTCTTTTTGAGACAGGGTCTCCCTGTAGCCCCAGCTGGCCTGGAACTCGCTATGTAGACCAGGCTGGCCTTGAACTCACAGAGATCCGCCTGCCTCTGCCTCCCAAGTGCTGGGATCAAAGGCGTGCGCCACCACGCCCAGCCTCTTTATTTTTTTGTGTATATGACTGTTTTGCCCGCATGAATGTAAATGTACCACATGCATGCAATGGCGGCTAGAAGACGGTGTCAGATCCTCTGGAACTACAGTTACAGACTGAAGCTATTAGCTGCCATGTGGGAGCTGGGAACCAAACTCAGGTCCTCTAGAAGAACAGCAAGGGGTCTAACTGTTGAGCTATCACTCCAGCCCCCTTTAATTTTTTTTTTGAAGATTTATTTTTATTTTATTTTTTTAGAATTTTTATTTTATTATTTTATTTTTTTTAATTTAATTTAATTTTATTTGTGGTCTTTTTGAGACAGGGTCTCCCTGTTGCCGCAGCTGACCTAGAACTTGCTATGTAGACCAGGCTGGCCTCAAACTCAGAGATCCACCTGGCTCTGCCTCCCAAGTGCTGGGATTAAAGCCGTGCGCCACCATGCCCGGCTTATTAATTTTTATTTTTATGTGTTTGCGTGTATTGCCTGCATGTAGGTAAGTGCACCCGTCAATTGTCGTGCAATGCCCACGGAGGTCAGAAGAGGCTGTCAGATCCCCTGGGACTGGAGTTACAGACAGTTGTTAGCTGCCATGTGGGTGCTGGGATTCAAACCTGGGTCTTCTGCAAGAACCACCAGTGTTAACCACTGAGCAATCTCTCCAGCCCCTGAAGATTTATATTTATTTTTATTTTTACTTATATATAAACTTGTGAATGTATGTATGACATGTATGGGGTTACCTACAGAGTTCAGAGGAGGGCATGGGATCCCCTGGAACTGGAGTTACAGGTTATTGTGAGATGCCTGATGTAGGTGCTGGGAGCTGAACTCGGGTCCTCTGCAAGAACAACAAGTTCTCTTAACCACTGAGCCGTCTCTCCAGCCCCTGGTTACCTTATATTTAAACAATTTTTTGAGGGATAGAGAGATGGCTTGTCAGTCAAGTGCTTGCCACACAAGCATGAGGACCTGAGTTTGAATCCCTGGCACCCACATAAAACTAAGCATGGTGGCTCTAGTCTAACCTAAGCACTAGGAGTGGGGTGAGGTAGGCAGATCCCTAGAGCTCCTTGGCCAGTCAGCTGAGGCAACTGTTGGGAAGCTGCAGGTTCAAGAGACCCTGTTCCAAATAAGGTGGAGGCCAGCAGTGGTGATGCACACCTTTAGTCCCAGCACTCAGAGGCAGAGGCAGGCAGCTCTATTGAGTTCAAGGCCAGACTACACAGTGAGATCCTGTCTTTAAAAAAAAGTTGGAATGTAGGAATACATTTGAAAAAGACATGTAACACTGACTTCTGGCCTACACATGCACACAACATAAGTACACACACACACACACACACACACACACACACACAAAGTTTTAAGCTTTCATAAACATTGCAATTTTTTCCCACTATTTGCATTGAACCCAAAGGCTGGTGAAAGTTAGACAAGCCCTGTGCCACTGAGCTACTTCCCTAGCCCTGCCCTTTATAGTTACCGTGTGAGTTTTTATGGCAGTTGCTCGTGTATGATACTGTACTGCATAAATATGAATGACTAGGGGGCTGGAGAGGTGGCTCAGCAGGGAAGAGCACTGGCTGCTCTTGCAGAGGACCCAGGTTCGATTCCCAGCACCTACATGGTAGCAAACAACCATCCGTAACTCCAGTTGCAGGGGAATCAGACACCCTCCTCTGACCTCTGAGTATTGCATGACACAGATGTACTTACATACATGCAGGCAAAACACTCATACACACACAAAAATATAAATGACTAGGGATAGTCTGCTGTGTCTACCTAACAGACAATTTTAACATGAAAGATAAGGAAATTCTGTACAATATTTTACTATTTAATTTTTTAAAGAAAATTTGTTTTGAGGCAGGGTCTTCCTATAGCCCAGCTGTAGTCTAGAACTTGGCTGTGTAGAGCAGGCTGACCTCAAACTCACAGATACCCTCCTGTCTCTGCCTCTGAGGGCTGGGATTAAAGGTACATACCACCTTTAATATTTTAATCCCAGCATTTGGGAGGCAGAGGCAGGTGGATCTCTGTGAGTTCAAGGCCAACCTGGTTTACATAGCGCGTTCCAGTCTAGCTGGGGCTACAGGGAGACAAAACTTGACCAAGTCAGGAATGGTGGAGCATGCCTGTAATCTCAGTCTATCCAGAACATTTAGTAATGGCCAAGACATGAAAGAAGTCTCAATAAACGATGTAGGATTCAAAGCATGCATGGCGAATCTCTGATCACAGTGGAGTTAAATTAGAAATCAGCAACAGAACCCTCTTTGAAAAATCCCTCAGTATATTGAAACAATATGTTTCTATATGATCTAAACAATCGAAAGGAAAATAAAGTATCTTTTGGTTTTATTGAGACACAGTCTCACTGTTAGTCCACTCTGGTCTCTAACTCTGCATTTAACTGGATATCTGCCTCAGCCTCTCAAGTGCTGGGATCACTACACCAGCTTAGAAAGCATTTTTATTTATTTTTATTTTATGTGTATTTTGCCTGTATGTATGTAAGTGCACCCCTCATGCATTCGGTGCCCATAGAGGTCAAAAGAGGGCCTCAGATCACCTGGAACGGTTATGAGCCTCCTTGTGGGTGCCGGAAACTGAACCCAGGTCCTCTGCAAGAGCAGTGAGTGCTCTTAACCACTGAGCCATCTCTCCAGGCCCTAGAAAGTATTTTTGTTTGTTTTAGTTTGGATTTTTACTCTCTATATGTTCATGACAGACCTGGAACTCACTATGTAGGACAGGCTGGCCTTTAACTCACAGAGATCTGTCTTCCTCCCAAGTATGGGGATTTAAGTCATGTGCCACATACCCAGTTAGAAAGCATTTTAAATAATGAAGATAAAAATCAAATACATCAATATTTGTAGAATGTCAGTAAAGCAGTACTTAGGGAAATTTGTAACCTGAAATTTTGTTGTTTGTTACTGTTGTTTTTGGAGACAGGGTCTCACTGTATAAACTCAAGGTGATCCTCCTACCTCGTTCTCCCAAGTGCTGGGATTACAGGTATGAGCAACCATACTTGGCTATAATCCTAAATTTTAGGGAGGATGGGGCTGAAGAAATGACTCAGTGGTTAAGAGCACTGACTGCTCTTGCAGAGGACCCAGGTTTGGTTCCCAGCACCCACATGTCTGCTAACAACTATCAATAACTCCAGTTCTAGGGGATCTGACATCCTCTTCTGACCTCCATGAGCATTGCACCTCAATGA